CTTGGTGGTAAATTGCTCGTGGTTTTCGGAATCGGTAAGGCTCCCTTGGTGAAAATTCAACAGTTGTTTTTCCAGTTGAATAATGTGTGTACTAACAAAAATTATCATCGGTCTGGCCATGATCGTCTTTTGGATCATTTTCGTAGCTCCAGTGGGTCGCATCTTAGCAGGACGTCTTCGTAGTCCGTGTTATGCTTCATCTTGTCCTTTAATAGTCGGGTGCACTGCCTTAGGATCAAGTTGAATGCTTTGCCTCTATTTTCTTGTAGTTTTGCCAACCTCTTAAGGTTGGTCTTCATCAGCCCTCCATACTCTGCTCTCTCGAGTCCTCCGAGTTCCTCGTCCGGTTGATCTGCTATGGCTGCAGAGAGGTTGGCTATTTCATTAACGATTTTTGCTTTCTCTATCGTTAGCGTGCGTAAGCTACCGAGATTCGGGTTCTCAATGACCTCGGCTATCTCGTCTTCCAGTAGCTGTAGGCTTGTTTGGGTTGCAGTTTGGAGACGAAGGTTGTTTTGTTCGCGTCGTTCCGCGGCGGCGTCAAGCCTGTTCCTGGTCTCCTCTGAGTACACAGGTGCTACCAACACTCTCTGTTTCAGGTTGCGTAACTCATTGCTTGATAAGATGTCTGCACCCAACGGTTTTGTCCAACTTAGATGGTGATCTTCTCCAATGTTCGTATCATCTGGTTTGCCGTTCCAGATCCAGTAGTACCGAAGTTAAACACATATTGGTCGAGGGCTTTGCAAGAACCTTTCTGCTGGTTCAACGATGGGCTGGTTCTTCCATGCTTTTGTTTTGTTGGCCGCCCCTCGCGTTGGGGCTTTTTTTTGTCCGCCTCCTCGGCCACCTCGTCCTTTACCTCTACCGCTAATTGTCTATGCTACGGTAGGTTGACTATTTCCATTCTTTCTTTTTATTTGGCTAGCTCTATATTTTAAGTTCTCGTCCAACTACTTATTCGTCTTATTGCTATGGGGCGATAAACTTCAAATTTTACTCCTGGCTAGGGAGTGTTAAAACTATTGCTAAGGATCTTGCAAGGTCTGGCGCTATTGCTTCACACTTCGTGCGGTATGCTGCCGTTCCGAACCCGTTTCCTTGCTGGTTGTTTCCTTGGTTGGGTACCCGTCCTTGGTCCCTGCGCTGGCACTATGGCTTTCGCGCTTGTTGTTGGCTCTGACAGTTCCGGCTGGATGCTGTCGGCTCTCCTATCGGCAATCCTTGTGGATTCTGCCGATGAAACTCTTGCTGCGTCGTTGACTGCAGTCTCCTCTTCGGCACGACGGTCGCGTCGTTGCCGATCTTGCTTTCGTCGCGTCGTCGCTTGTTGCGTCGTCGCGGTCTTGATCCGTCCTCGGATCCTTCTGTTGCTGTCGTTGCTTCGACAGGCTTCTTCTCTTGTTGCTGTCGTTCGAACGTCGAACAACAGGCTTGGTCTTCTATCGATCCTTGCGTCGCAATCCGTCCTCGGATCGTTGCGTCGTCGCGATCCGTCGATCTTCTTCGTACGGTCGTTACTCGCTCTTCTTCTCTTCGCGTCGCGATCTTCTTCCTGCTACCGTTGACTCGATAGGCTCCTCTTCGCTGTCGATAGTAGACCGCTTTTTCAATAGTATGTTAGTTGCTCTAAGCTCTCTTCTAGTTTACTGTTGCTATTGAGATACTATTGAAAAAGTGGGTGGGCTCTGTATTTCATGGTATTTCTACTGGCATGAAATTCTAGTACAGAGGTACAGGTTCAATCCCTAATCGCGAATCCCCAACAAACACGTCTTCAGAGATTGGGCGACACAACAAGAGCCAATGATCAAGCGACCAAGCAACCAGACCAAGCACAACCATATCTTCACAGTGGATGCAGACAGAAACAGCAACATCATGTACATTCAAGAGTATGAGGGAGCAGAGGAAGTAGCCATGGAACTTGTCAATGATGACTACAAGGGAAAGGATGCTCTGTTCTGGAAGGAGCTGCCACCACCAGAGCCGCTTGCTCCTATAGGAATCCAAGACATCAAATGGAAGGAACTACATGACAAGTGGGGCAAACTGATACTTGAAGAGAAGAAGAGTGGCCTCATCTACTACCACCAGTCACCACCACAAAGCAAGCGAAAGGCAGTCAAAGATCAATCCAAGGCAGCCAAGAAACAAAGGAAGGATAGGAGTACCACTGTGGTGGACACTAATACAAAGAGGGCTGAGATCTAATGAAAATGTAAGTGAAAACGAGGTTTTCCTTGTTGCGGGATTGCGTTCCACCATGGTCGTCTGTGAGCTAATGAGTTTTTTGCGATTTTCGCAGTGTTCTCGATTTTAGACGTCTCCAGAGCCCCGGACGACGATAGTGCAATAGACGATGTGGTGGGGATTTCTATCTGCCAGGTCTTAAATATTGCTTAGTCGCTACTTTAGTCGCTCCGGTAGAGACCGGCCTTATTAGTTAGTTACATAGTTGTACCGTACCGGTACACTCCTCCCTTGATATTAAAATGTCTCTAAGTTCCACCCGAACCCTGAAGCCATCTTAGCAAGCACTCAAATATCTGCACTGAGAATCTTCTTAGAATTTTGTTTAAATTCAGGGTGCAAAGGCAACATCTTAGCTTTCTCGCCATTTCTATTGATCATACTAGTAGTATGGTACATACCAACATTTCTACTCTGCTTCCCACCTTATTAAACATACCCTTATGTGAAGGGAGGAAAGAGCACTGTATCATCTTCCGGAGGCGAAATTTTTGACTTTTGGCAGCTGTTTTCAAGGCATTTTGTTGTAGAAAATTGTCATTGTATCATCTGTCAATCTCTTTTGTGCCCAAGGGAGAGTGCTTGCTGGGTACGGTATCTTAGCTCTAGTGCAGATCTGAGTGTCTCAAATATCTTATTAACATTCTAGCAAATCTCAGTACTCGACATCTTATCTCCGACTCTCTTAATATCAAGGGAGGAGTGTACTAGCGGGACTGATTGAGGAGGTTATCGAGATCGTTCGTTCTCAAGATCCGATTGTTGTCATTCGATTGTGATTCGATTCGTCGTTCATCAAATTCCTCTGAATTCTCAGGCGAAGAGTGCAACCCTCCACATCACCCCTGCCCTCACAGTGAACACCTTTATCTCAACACCTTCTTGTTTCTGCAATTACCTTGGTCGTTGTTGCTTGCTTGAATCCTCTTGCTTACTAGCTAGTATCTGGAATCCAATCCAAGAAAGCAGGCAAAGTCTACTTCGGAAGAATCTTCATCTTGACACTTGTAGCGCTGTTACGAAAACCTCGGTACAACTGAAGTTCGGCTCATGGCGTCCGCAGTTTCCTCCACGAATGGTGTGGTCACCGATGAAGAAGAATCTGAGAACCAACCACACTCTTCCTTGCTCACTTGTTCCTTTAACCAAGATGGAGGCTGTTTGGCCATTGGAACCACCACAGGCTTTTCTGTGCACAATCTCCACCCTCAGTATGCTGTCTCGGTCAGAAGGGATCTCCAAGGAGGAATTGGCCTAGTGGAAATGCTATTTCGATGTAATCTCATGGCCCTGGTGGGTGGAGGCCCCTCCCCTCAAGCTCCTCCTCATCGTGTGGTACGTGTAGGTCCAGTCCAGACTGTCTGATTCATTTTCTGAATCCATTTCTCCTCCCTCATTGATCCTTGTTTCATTTTTTTGTTGCGTAGTTGATTTGGGATGGTGCGTGTCTTGAAACAGAAAAAAGTCAGTAAAATCCAATTTGTGGAGAGCCGTCACTCATGGAATTTTTGTCGTTCATTTACGCAGATCATCTTCCCAAGGAAATTGGAGAATTGAGCTTTCGTCAGGTTGTGCTGTCCATCAAACTGCGCAAAGATGCCATTGCCGTGGCTCTGAGAGACAGAGTTTATGTTTATCATTTAGCCGATTTATCTCTTCGAGACAAGATCTATACATGCGATAATCCACATGGTCTCCTCTGCTTGTCCACCCAAATCCAAAATATGGTGTTGGCCTGTCCGAGTGTTTCTTTGGGACACGTTCGAGTTGAACTTTACGGTCTACGTAAAACACAGGTAGGTGCCAGATTTTGATGCATCCAGAACGGTTGTGCTTCATTTGATCGTTTGCATGCGGTGGGTCTCACCTGGCAACTATCTGACTCACAGCTCATGGAAGCTCACGAAAGTGATCTCAGGGGTCTAGCTCTTACTGCGGATGGATCAAAGCTGGCCACAGCGTCTGTCAAGGGCACTGTGATCCGAGTTTGGGATGTCTCAACCGGTGCCTGCATCCAAGAGTTCCGAAGAGGAGTAGAAAGAGCAACAATAACGTGCCTCTGCTGGAGTTGGGACTTTTCATGGCTCAGTTGTGCTAGTGACAAAGGAACTTGTCATGTCTTCAAAGTTGGAGATGACGAAAATAAAAATGGCAACAATCAGAGCAGCACGGGGCAGTCGAAATCACTGACTACCAGATTGTTCTCTTCTGTCATTAGATCTGTCGAAGGAGAAGCAAAGAAGAGTGTCTGCCAAGTGCGAGGTGTCCCTCACCCTCTTGCATGCGCATTCGTTTCCGAAGCAAACAATCTCTTGGCCGTGGCAGGTTTTGATGCCGATGGCAATGGGGTTTTGTTGCTTTCCGAGTTTGCAGCGGGAGAGGAACCCAGAAGGGTCGGCTACCATGTCTTGTGCAAGACCACCGTTGTTGACGAATCAGAGGAAGCACGTCGTCGTCGTCGTATGAGGGGATGGACACCTCAGGTACCAGAAACCCCAGAAGGAGGGCGACTTTACGTTGGCGAGCGGTTGGATATATTCGAGGAGAGAATGCAACAAATCCAGTTTGATGATAATCAGGAAGAGGAATTCGTGTCGGTGACGACGGTGAAAAACATAAATCAAAATGAATCCAACGGTGCTGAAGAGCCCACAGAAGCGAACGGCGTGGATACAACCGGTATCGATGACAAGGCCAAGCAGCAGGAGGGCTCCAATATCGCAGATTCAATGCGGACGGAAGACCTGGAGGATTCATCATCGGCGGAAAACGTGCAGCCGGAAGATACCCAATAGTTCTTTCAAGACACTACCGGTACTGCTGGACGTCACAAGCTTTCTGTTGCGTCCAAAGTGGGAAAGCGCTTTTTGAATCACATGTCGACAACATACTCGTTTGAGCTAGATAGAGGCAAACTATACGAAAGGACCAAGTCAAAATTCTAGCTACTAGTGATGTGAGCGAAAGTATAACCTACTCGACTGATATAGCCTTCTTGAAAATGCCAAAGCTGCGTTTTGAATTTGGGTGTCAAATTGTTGCTGCTCTACAGGAGAAGATGACTTGTTCACCATGGTTGCGTCACTGTCGTGTTCGTTCCTTGTTTCTGTCTTGCTTTTTGTGGAGGTTCAGAGAAATGACTGGTGCACCACTGACACAAGGTTCGCAGCTCCGCCATGCCGGCCTCATCAAGCGGGAAGAACCTTCCCTCTTGTGTAGAAACATGCCTGAGTTGCTTTATAAAATGTTGTTGGGTACATTTGAGTGTATCGCCAGTGACACTCGTGCTGTCATCACACAAGGTGGGAAGGATCGCACTGTGACGGATTGAAAGCTTGGATCTTTGCAGGCCAACCTTGACAACTTGTCATTCTTTCACATGAAGGGGAAAGTCTTGTTTCTTTTGACCTTGCTGCCGTATTGAGAGGCGAAGTTGCCCAAGCAGGTGATCCTAACCCTGCCATTCAATCTGGCCTGCCCAGAATGTACAGAACGAATTTCAAGTCTTAGAATAACTTTTAAAATAAAATAGTCTTGAGCGTCTCCGAGCCCCCTCTGAGGATTCTCGGCGTGAGTCTTTAGACTTGAACTCCCTCTGCGGCTTCTCTGCATGAGTCTACGTGATATCTCTCTGCAGATTCTCTTCGCGAGTCTACGTGATACGCGCTGCCTCGCCTACCAGTGTGTCAAAATTCTGAGCGTTCAAGGCAAGGGCGGGGAGGTTGCATGGATGAAGCAGTGAGATTGCCATAGAAGCGAAAGGAAGACTCAGAACTGCCAACCAATTCGTTCTCTTGCACTTACCTGGTCGTACCATCCTGACTGTGTTGGTGGCAGCTCTACGAGATCAAGGTATTCATCCAGGATTTCAAGGGACGATGCATATAGCTCCTTGTGTTGCGGGAACAAGGAGTCGAGTCAGGGTGGCCGCATCCTGTGCGCACATACCGCAACAAACAGTTCATGTACTTACCTGTGCCTTGGCATCACTGTCTTTCGGTTTGGATTTAGCCCTTTCTTCAAGCGCATCAATTTTCTTGAAAAATGCCTTTGCAGCCTTCACAGTTGGCAGCTTATCCGGTGGTTTCTGCTGATCTGTACGAAAGGCATTTCCCAGTAGATACATGCTTGGAAAAGGCACAGAGGCCTACGTCAGGGATATCAATCAGCAGAAGTGGTTCAAATAAGAATATCAACAGGATGAACGTACGAAGTCTTCATGTCATTCCAACGGGAGTCTCTGATTTCTTTGCCTAAAGCAGCGCAAGGCAACAAAAAGATGGTATGATCTCAGAACCACATTGGGTAGCGAAATAGTAAAAGCGCAGCGGCACTGGCGTCGTACCTTGGCATTTTCCATCCTTCTTTGTGCATTGACCTATAAAAGTTGCGTTAGGCACAGAATCCAGAGCAAAACAACGTTAAAACCAAGGAGTAAAATCATTGCCCGCCCCCATGACCAGGGCGCCCCACGTACCCGAAACTGCAGATATCCCAATAAAAATATTGCATCAAAGAGTTGGAGTTAGTACAACAGACTCACACCTGAGCTGAGATGGTAAACAGTTTTCAAGCTGCTTGCTTACTGTCTTGGCGCTTCTTCGCGACAATCACGACACCATTCACGTCAAAGAAGAACTGAACGTTTTCACCTGTGGTATCAGCCTTGACCATTTCGGAGCCCATGGCCAAAAAATCATGCACACCTTGCTGTACGCGCCCGTAATATCTGCGCTTGGCAATAGGAATGGTCCTATAATGGAAGGATGCACAGAACAATGCGTCATTGACAACCTGATTCAAAGTCGACGATAACTTTAGGAAAACAACAACTTACGTGTACTTTCCAGCGGTCGCACCACCGCTAGCAAAAGCTGGCTCTGATGGTAAGGTTGATACAAGAATGCCACCCGAAAGGGCCAAAGCAAAGCTCTTGAAGGCATCACGACGCTGTGACGATTCAATGGCATCACGCTCGGAAAGTTGAGGATCTTCGGCAGCGTTCCTTGGGGTGAATGGCGCTCTAGTAGGTTTCTCAACAACAAAGGCTTGAGCTCCGCAAAGGAGCCCAGCAAAGAGAACCACGTGCCTGAATACAACCATCTTTCAGCCAAGTTCTACCGTAGAGGATTTTGGATGTTGCCGTTGTTGGCAGAAATAGGACTTGCCATTGCTAGTTGCCATGGTCGTGGATGGATCGGCATCAAGCAATGTATGTGATGCAGCCACGTACGTGTTGAGTCTCGCGATCTTTTCGCTTTCAATCGAATCACGATCCAATTCGTTACTCACCTGATAAGACTGAACAATTTTGGTCCTTTGGCAAAAGCCCACGATACTGGTACCGTGCCACTGGCAGCCAGTGGCTCAGGTAGACCAAGAACATCACGAAGTGGTTCCTCTAGACGTCTAGACTATCTGAATGATTCAATTTAAATAGAATCGACTTCTGAATCTTCAGGATGGTCGCGGGCAACCGTGGAGTGACACCGGAACCAGAAAAAGGCTCGGGACCTGGACCGATCAGAACTACCAGCCAACTATGCATAGATACCGAACATGTATCGCAAGAACTGTTTCAGGAACTAGTTTTAATAATTTTATTCTCTCAGCCAAGGAATGGATCATTTTGGCCCCAATACTGCCGTGCCGGTACCTATCGATACTAGTACCGACGGAATGAATCATAAGGTGGCGCTTTCTCAGCGACACGGCAGCACGGTTCTCCTGGTCTCGGCCCCAACAATCCATTGGTTCGAGCAAAAGCAACCAGCTGATCTATGAACGATCCATTATGGAGTGCCCAGTTTCCTCGTTGCCTTCGAAGGTGTGCAACAACATCCAGGACATTTTTTTGTTCCGACACCAGTTTGTGGGCTGCCACAAAAACAGCACTGCGGTTGATCCCAGCCACACAATGAACAAGAATGTTGCTTCCAGCGGGAGCCGATTTAACAAAGTTCTGAAACTCTTCCCAATGTTCTTTCAATACTGGATATCCTTCTTCGTCTTCGGCTTCAATGGTAGTTCTCTTAATGTTGGCTTTCGTATATTGTTCTTGCTCTCCTTCCATGACTTCGCCAGCAACATTGATTACGTGCGTGATACCGAGACTACTTAGACGCTCAAAGTCGAATGCAGTCTCCATATTCGACAAGAAGACAAAACAAGGATTGTCTGGTGGGGACGAGATTAAAACAGGCAAGTTCTTTTGTTCTTCTTCCTTTGCACGCAATCCATCGGCATCATTCTTAAACTCTGTTGTCCAATCAAGATTATCGCGATCCTCAATGGCCCAGATCCAAGGCCAATCTTCCTCCGGAAACGAAGGTTTGGTTGTGCTCATACCGTACCACCAGGGACAAATAGCAGGAACTATGTTGGGCTACAACAATGTTCACCCATCAAAATCAAAGCATCCGCTGCTACGGTACCAGTACACTACCGGTACGGAGCAACGGCACAGAATGGTCATACAGTCGTATCGGTATGGGACATCGGTTTGAGACTTGCTTGGATTCCACTTTTAGGTCAAGTGGAGCTACTAGACTATAGCAAGATCATGTCAATATGGGTCTATAGAGGTTGTAAACCTCCCCTCCAGACTAGGATCCAGGCAAAGGCAATGGCCCTGGTTATACCAGAGAGGCCTGCTGCATGTATCACAGACAGACCTACTTCCATCCAATTTACCCGGCGGGAGGGAAGGGAAAAAGGAAATTGGTGTCGGGCGGCTGAACTCTGGTTCAGAAAAAGTGAACCTGATTTGTAGCCGCCCGATTAGTAGTCCTCTAGCTAGTCATCAACACCACTAGGCACACCACCTGTGCATCCCGACACTTCGGTCCACCACCTCATCCTTGGATGAGTGGCTCTCCCGGATTCCTGTCCGTCAGTCTCCCTTATGTCGGCTCCCTTTAACTCATACTCTCCTTCTGTAGAATCTCTTCATTCCCTGTCTGGAAGGTGGGCGATTCCACTTTAGGTCAAGTGGAGCTACTGACTATAGCAAATCATGTAATATGGGTCTATAGAGGTTGTAAACCTCCCTCCAGACTAGGATCCAGGAAAGGCAAGTGGCCCTGGTTATACCAGAGAGGCCTGGTGCATGTATCACAGACAGACTACTTCCATCCAATTTACCCTCCGTCGGAGCCAGACCTCATGACTGACCATAGATATAATCCCCCGTGTCGGCCGGCAAGCCGGCCAATTACGCCCCGACTGCCAGGGAGGTTGACCGTGGAACTTGCAGCCAGCAACAGGAAGCTTCTCGAAAGCCCTTCCACATGCGCACCACTTGTTTTGTGGACAGTTCAACAAGCATGACTCGTCCGAAGCTATCTGTGGTGGCTCCCAGATTCCCCTCTGGATCCATGACGAGTGAGGCGAGCTGATTTGCGTGTGCTGGTTGCTCATCCTTGGCTGTGTATGGTGTGTCTGCTGCTCTATTTGATATGGTCCCGACTCCTGCCTCATCTCTAAGGTTACCGTGCTTTCATTCTCGCTCAACGCGGAACCTGAGAGAAGCTGTTCGTGCATACGATGGAGATTGCCCTCAAGTTACTCTGGTCTCGATTTTGAATACCTCGCCAGGACACTCGTTTACGGTGGTTCTCTCATGCTTGATCTTGTTCCCATGAACCCCATCTGCCAGGTGTCGTCTTACCTCTGCGGTGCATTATCGTGTCTGCCGTTCCGTCCGTGGGTTGGTTTCCTGTATCGTTGTCGCTTGCGGAGATTGATTATCTACTGGTCACCCTTCTGTGCACTCGCCTGGTGTATGGTTTGGCGAAGCACCCTTCCTGCGGTGCGGCTCCGGAAGCGGATCCCGATGTCGTGTTGGTGCTGCGCGGATGGATTGTGGACGTGAGGTGTTGCCGCCCGCAGTTTTGCTTCCAGCTCTAACTTTGCCACTCGTGCCGTGAGGAAAGCCAGGTCGTCGGGTCTTGACGGAGGCCACCCCAGCTTTTGTACCGGAGTGAGGATGTGTCTGGTTCGGGGTGTGAGTATAGTTCCGTCGTCACCAGATATCGTAACCATGTTTCCCTCGGTGTCGCCATCCAGATTGGTGAACTACGGGTGTTGTGGTTGTGACTGGGAGGTCGATTCTGATGCAAGGTTGGGTAGATATACGTCCGTTTAGTAAGAGTGTAGGGACGACTTGGTTCGCTTGACCGGTAAGTATCGGATATGTGTCTCGGCTCTTGAGCGCATGCCCGCGCGCCCGCGAAGTGCGTGTTTTCTGTTTCACACTTTAAACTGGTGTAGGCCAGGTCCTTCGGTTTCCATTCCACTTGTTCGGCTGAAGATTTCTCGGCCATAATAAATGTCGACGATCGTGAGTCAGCCCAGCAGGCGATTATCTCCTGCGAGGTGTGTGAATGTTCGCCAACCGAACTCTGGTGGTCTTCCTCGCTACAACGAGATAGGCTGTGCTAGCGCTCGCCTGCAATGATGCTGATGGCCGCTAGGCAAAATGAGAATCAGGCGTGCGCCGATGTCACTCTGATTCCGTGTTCACCGATACGTGCTGTGTTCTTGTACCGTCCTCATTCAGATGGTTGGTACTTTTGTGGTGGTCTGTCTGTGTATGCTTGAGATGGTGGCGTAGAGGCGAATTAGGAATCTCCGCATATGCGCTGTTGCTTGTGTGGTCGCTCACTTCTCGAAACCGCGCTTACTCGCGAGATGAGTTGTCATTCCTGGCCGTTGTTATGAGTCGTGCAAGCTCCTTGTGTGGTTTGTGGAGTACTGTGGGAGGATCTCGATTGGTTAGAGTTTACGGCGCTTTTCATCGTCACGAGACTTGAAATCCCCGTTGGTAGGCTACTATGGTCTCAGGCGATGGGAAGCATGTCGTATTGGGTCATTGGCGGCGATTTTGTTTAGGTGTGTGTTATGGTGCTTCTCAACAAAGATATGGCGTTACTGTCTCGTAGACGCAGTGCGTGTCGCCCTAGAGACTCGTGCCGAAGTACTTTTGTGTCTCGGAGAATGGTACCAACGAATTTCCTCAGTGCTGAGGTTTTATTGCTTTCGGTCGATACGCTACTTTCTTGAGAAAGTTTTTGCGCCTCTCTTGCTATGATGTCAAGTTAGCTTGTTCTCCTAGAATTCCTTTGTCTCAGTGGTTGGAGTCACGGTTGCGCAGGCCTGTCGACCTGTGTGTTAGTGCCCGACTCGCCTAATCGGCCGCTAGTGCTGCGCTTTTCCTGAAGATTTTCCCGGTCCGCCACTATTGCTAGCGTGGCATAGCTAATCTGGTACGACTGTTTTCGGAACTCAGTGCTCGTTTCTTCTGATTGTCTTCCTACTCTCGTCTGAGGAGTTTATGGGATCTAAATGGATATGACGCCGCGATTTGGCGGTGACAACTCGTACCTGTCGCTAGCCTCAGTCCGACTCATGTCGCCCTCGGATGTGTATCCGATGTGGCGCCTTCTCGCGGATCCGCGGCGACTGACTGTGATGTAATGATGGTCAGGGAGGATGTGTCGCGGTCCTCTCGCCAGCAGCCAGAGATCTTTCTAGTGGGAAGAGAGTCCGTTTATGGTTGCGGCACTGTTTACGTACGTTCGCGAGTGGAGGCCCTGTTGGCGTGCCTCTCAGCGGTGATGTTTTTTCTCGCGTTTTCCACGCAACGCTGGCTTCCTGTGGTGCTTCCCGATCCGTGCGGTTTTGATCCCGCACTGGTGTTGCTTCCAGCGGGTCCGAAAATTCGTTTCCATTGCCTCACCGTTTTCCCCAATGTTTTTCGGCTGGTTATTCCTTTTCGGGTCTGAGCGGTTCTTTCTCCATAGCTGGTGTCGCTTTCCTCTGTCTCAAATGTGTGCGTGTCTGGCTTCCTTCGGCTATGGCATGACCGCCTCTCTGACGCGCGGTTCTTTGGTAATCAGTGCTTCTTCCCGCACTTTCAGCGCCTTTGCCACTTGCTGTAGTGTCTTACGCTTGGTGCATTCGCGTGCTCTCTAAGAGCTCCATGAATCGCTCGAAATCCGCGGTTAGCATATTGCAAGAAGGTCCCACGCCGGTGAAACGTGGATCTCGATAATGGTGGGGACGAGAATTCTGCAGCGGCCCTCTACTTCTCTTGTTTTTCCTTCTTTGAGCAGTCTCTCTGTGTGTTCTGTTCTTGTTTTACGGTGTTTCGCTCTTATGGATCTGGCGCGAAGTGTCTATGGTTTTGTTCTATCAGAAAACAGGTCTGGTAAGCTTGTGTGCGAGGAACTCTCGGTCTGGTCGGTGTGCTCTCGATCGCGTAAAAGTGTGACCAGTGGTGTTTCCAAGGCCTCCAATTTCCGGCTCCCTCGAGAATGGGTGTATGATGGTGTTTGTAGGGTGTGCGAGTGTCCGGCTTCAGTGCCGTGGGTGGTCCAAGAAAGTTGAGTGAAAGTCTTCCGAGCAAGGCTCAGGCTCTCTGGGATGTTCTCCTAGAAGTGTGATAGTATTGTTGGTCTGGGTTGCTGCCTAGCCATTGCCGAAAGTTTTCCTTGGTTCTCGCGTGATGGTGCGCGCTAAGCCTGTTCCACTGCTAGTGCTGGTCGTGCTCTTAGGTGGCAGCCAGATGTGCTTCTCCTTCCTTGTCTGTGGTTGTGGGCTGTCTGCTCTTGTATCGGGTCTATTTTGGGTGGCCTCGGAGACGTGCATATTTGGGATCCCGACAACAAGCCTCGTGTCACCCTCTTGGGAGGGGCCCTCATTCGGCTCCCGGAGACCCCTATTGTTTTGGAGACGTGGATTCAGTCCGCCATGGAGCGTCCCTTGAAGATCCAATTGGGTAGAGGGGTGGCGGCTGAGGCCTATCTGATACTGCTGATGGGCTGGGACATAAATCCGGATTTCCTGCGTGATGTCAGTCTACGTGTTGTGTGGTCATGGCTCGTTTGCATGCGTTGTTCTCGTGTGACCTTCTGGTCTTTAACTCTTTTCGTGTTGCTAGACCGTCTCTCTTTGATGTGAGTGGTGGTGGATACTTGATTGGTTTGTTTTTGGTTGTTTTGGTGGGGATGAACGTTGCGGGGTGGTTTGCGGAGCACATAACTGTTGGGGGAGGGCTGTGTGTTGGTGTTTGTGATACGGTTCCTTCTCGTTCTGGGGCCAGTCCCATTGTGTGTTCTGATGCCGTACACCATCGTCAGATTGCATTGTGTGGGGGTGGGTCGGCTCGTCGGTGATGCTTTTGGTTTCAATGCGCACTGAAGCTGGTTTTGTTGAGTGCGGTGTCTGGATTGCTCGGGCTCTCTCGGTCTGCTCTAGGTCTGAGGCTGGATGTTTTCATTGTTTTGTTGTCGGGGTTGTGGCTGGTCATTTCTCCTGTAGCCTCAGTTTCCTATCCGTGACGCCTATTGGAGGAGAGGTGGTGTTTTTGGAATAGGTGTGGTCGTTTTTTTTGGGTAGGACGTGGGAGGCCAACGTTGGAGCTGGTAGTGGGGCGCTCTCCGATGTTATGCGCGCGCGGCTCGTGGTGTTCGTCTGGTAGGTTGTTTTCGTCGAATGGTTATCCGTCGTGTGTTAAGTGTTATTCGTGTTGCGGGCGCCTCCGTGTGGGGTTCCTGTGTTTATCTGTCGTTCGGCGTTGGTTTGTAAAAGGCCTCGGTTTGGGGGTGGTGGTGTTGGTGTGGGAATGTTGTGTTGGTTGTGTTTGTTCGGTCTTGGTTTTGGTTGTTGTGTTGTTTTTTTTTTTTTTTTTTTGTTTGTGT